AACCAAAGTTAAAATGTGTTACACACTCCCATTAGTATTGACCTTGACCCTTACGCCGACATCACTCCGAAACCCAGTGGTGCATGAAGGGCGAGTGCGTGGAGATGGGAACCGGCTCCAGCCCCATCCACGGGAACTGGGGAGAGTGGAGCCCGTGGAGCGCCTGCACCAGGGAGTGCGGGGCGGGGGTGCAGCACCGACAGCGAGAGTGCGACAACCCCGCCCCGAAGCACGGGGGGCGGTACTGCGTGGGAACGAGACGGGAGTACCGCATCTGCAACGTCCAGGTCCTTACTCGAACTCGCGAAGCACTGAAAGTACCGAAAGTACTGAAAGTACTGAAAGTACCGAAAGTACTGAAAGTACTGAAAGTACCGAAAGTACTGAAAGTACTGAAAGTACTGAAAGTACCGACTCGAATCGTTCCCCAGGAATGCTGGAAGGGAGAGACGAGCTTCCGCGACACCCAATGCCAGGACTTCAACGTTCTCCCCTACAAGGGCAAGACCTACACCTGGACCGCCGCCTTTTCCCGCGGTACTTCCAAGTCCCTCCCTGCGGAACGATGGCGCGTTTCCGCGGGCCGCAGTGCCCGTACCGCAGAGCTCTCCATCCCGATAAACCTTCAGCGATCTCGCGCATCTTCGAATCGATTCCGCTCCTTAACACCTGAGCGAAATCGATGCAGAAATAAAAATAAAAATTTAGAAATAAGCGTTGCACATGGTCAAAACCAGACTCCCGATTTAAACACATTTAAATTGTACCAGATTTTATGTGTACTAGATATCGCACCACCCCAAAACCATGCTCCGGTACCGGCACCAACCGGCCCCCAAAACGCTCCTCCTCCCCCACCCACCCACAAAAACCACCAACCCTCGACCCATTAAACCCCCCAGCGAACCCCTGCGAGCTGCGATGCCGGCCCGAAGGCGAGCTTTTCTCGGTCGTCCTCAAGGAGTCCGCCGCGGATGGGACGCCGTGCAATCCTGGATCGCGGGACATGTGCATCGCTGGGATCTGCAAGGTATTTTTTTTTTCAATCCTCAAATCCTGTCTAGACAGTGAATCATGAATTTGTTTCTATTTCTACTTTTACCATTCATTTCACCATTCATTTTACCATTTATTTTACTATTTATTTTTCACTTCCCCGGTTTCCTCCCCCCTCCCCCCCCCCCCACA